TCCTGAAAGTTCATTGACCAATGCTCAAAGGATTTGTAGTGTAGTGAGGATATTGGAGGAAGTTTTGTGGATCCACAACTTCAGTGGACCTGTGAGCAGATTGCAGTTGGTACTGGGAAGGCTTGGGTGGGTTAGCACGAGTTTCAGGATCTAGGCAGTTGGACTGCAGAGTCTCTTGTCTCAGGAAGGCATGCTAAATAGGGGATTTACACTTCAAAATTGTGCCTAAAAGCTATGATTGAACCCCGTTTGACACAGCCAGCATAGAGCATGTGGAGTCCAAGGCTGTGTCCAGACTCAGGGGTTTTTTCGGGAAAAGTAGCCTTTTTCCGAAAAAACTTCACCTGCGTCTAGACTGCAGCCGCGTTCTTTCAAAATTAAATCAAAAGAACGCGGCTTTTCTTTCGACAGCGGTAAACCTCATTTCATGAGGAAGAACGCCTTCTTTCGAAAGTGCTTCTTTCGAAAGAAGGCGTTCTTGAATGTAAATAGGGCTTCTTCGAAAGAGAGCATCCAGACTCACTGGGTGCTTTCTTTCGAAAAAGCGCCTTGCTCTTTCGAAAGTTCCGCGTGCAGTCTAGACGCTCTCTTTCGAAAGAGCCTCTTTCGAAAGAGGCTTGCAGTCTAGACATAGCCCAAGGTTAGTCTGGTGAGTAAAAGGGAGAGCTCATCCAGTGCTGTAATAAAAAAAAGTTGCAACTGTCTCCATCCAGATTGCTAGAAAGTTTTGAATAAGGTCTTTTTCAATACATTTCTGAGAGATCCTAACTGTCTCCCATTCTCTCCCAGCAACTTCAACCTCTGCTTCAGAGATGTCACTTCCTTTTCCACAAAATCAACACAAAATCAACACACATCTTTGAACTAATGTCTTGTCACATTCTTTCACTATTTCATGCTGTCTGCTACAGTCAGCACAACCGGAATATGCGACTTTTCACACTGTTCTAGCCAGCTGTTTCTAAGCAGCAGGCATTAAAAGGCTACCGAGTTCAACTTTCCCTGAGGCTTTGCTATACTTACAATTATTTTTACTGACGTAATCAACATACATCATGATTTCCACAAGTAATCTGACATAAGCTGCTATTTGGACCTCCTATATGGTGTTGGGGAGATGCCATGGAGAAAATGGCTATTAGAATAAATAGAGAGCAGGGTTGAATTACCTAGGATTCGCAGCTGATGATGTATTGATTTAAGGAAAATATAGACGAATCACTGTAAGAAATGACAACATGAAAGCAGGATGGAAGATAAACGTAAGCAAAACAAATGGGATGTGTAATGGACTAGGAAGGGAAATGTCCAGGTAAGAGTGGTAATAATTTTGCAAGTGCAGGCTAACTTAGTGTACATTCTCTCTCAGTTTCTTGTGATTCTTAATCATAGTTTTAGAAGTGTTGGCCTATTTATGATGGATCATACTGTAGTTGATCATGATCAGTGTAAAATATAAAAAAGAAACTCTATTAAAAAGTTGTGGGATCTCATCAATTTTTACATCCCTTCAGGCTACAGTGTGTCCTGATTCTGATGTCCTAGTGGAGTCAGTGATTATTGTTACCAACTTACATTTTTAATTGAAAGCTTTTTCTTTACCACAATAGCCTAATTTGTTGCTTATAAAAATAAGTAAAAGCTAAAACTAGTTACTAAAATATGTTCTATAGCATTATCTTTCACTGTTGGCGGTATCCCCTCTTACTGTGTGATGGCTTTTCAGTAGTCTATACGATAGGATGTGATGATGTGAGTCCCATTCCCAGTGGATATACAGAACTGTTTCATAACCTCTCCAAGAAATATTTTTATTTTGGCCATAAACTGATCAGTACAGTCAAAATCTTGCCCTAAGGTAATTACTTCTTTGCCAACTAAATGGACTTGTTAGCGGTCTCTAGGCACCTAAAATGGCCTGAGGGTTAAACTCTAGAAAAGGCATTTTTCTTTTCTCTCAGGGTTTTGGCAATGCTTCTCAAATGTTGGCAATAGCTAGCCTATGGTTTTTCAAATTGCCCACCCTTGGCAGACTTCCTGATTTAAGAAGGCCAGCTGTTCATCATTACTTATGGCCCTCATGAAAAGCCAGATCTGCTGGACTCATCATGATGCTAAATTCAAGCTACAGGCAAAGTGGTGTTAAAGTACTTATTCTTTGTGGATAGTTGAAGTTTTAATCTTGATTTTCTTGTTGCTCAGACAATATATTGTAGGTTGGTTTTACACAAAATCCAATTTTAAGTTAACTAACAGTAATTTCTAGCTGATTGCCAATTTAATTGTCCATAGTAGATAGTAAAAAGATGTGCTGATATTTATGTCAGTTATGAAGTACTAGCACCATTTGCCAGGCATTGTTTGGCTCCTTAAGAAGGGGTTTGGGGCCGGAGGTGGACGGTGTAGGGGGGGGGTGTGCAGGAGTCAGGGTTGAGGGGTGAGGAGGGGCTCAGGGCACGAGGTGAGGGATACAGAAGTCATGACGGGGTTGGGAAGTGTGTGGGGGCTCAGGACGGGGTGGATGGCTCAGGGCAGAATTGTAGGGAGTGCAGGAGTCAGGGCAGGAGGTTGGGTGTGGGAGGGGCTCAGGGGTTTTGGAGTGAAGTTGTGAGGCTCGTGGCAAGGAGTGTGGCTACAAGCTGCCTGTATGGCAGTAAGTGCTGCCTTGTCTGGCTGCCAGATCCCCAGGCCTCTCTGGCCATGCTTCTTGGCCAGTGGCTTACCAGAACAGGAACCTTATCTGTGTATGGTGGCTGGCAACATCCAGAGCCCCTCACTCAGCCAGCTACTCTCTTACTTGATGTGCCCGTCCTCCTGTGGTCATTCTACAGTATAACTGTGCCTGTTAGCAAATCCCTCCCTTTGCATTTCATGAGAAACAATTGTATTCCAGGCACACTCCATTTTCCTGGTACATTATAAGAGGAAGCTGTATTCCAAATGTCATGGTCCTAGCCCTTACCATTTAGGAGGCGTTCTTGATCAAATGGATGGACAGACAGACACACACAAACTCTCTCAAATACAGAGTAGATTTCTTCAGTCACAAAGACTGTGCTTTCCATGCCTATGGATGGAAATGAAAAATTCTTCCTGGAGCCCTCTGGTGTATCGGAAACTTAAAATTGCAGGCTATCATTTTACATTTCAGAGGGGTTTTGTGGTTCTGCTTGTAATTGAGGAAGAATGTGTCAGAATCAATTGGTAAAGAGACAACCTAAAGTAAAGTGGGTAAGTTGTAACCCTCTTTTAGAGAGCAGCCCGCTTTGAGCTCTGCTTTTGTGTTCTTGTGTCTTTATTGATCTGACTTCTAAAAAATAATGTTATTTTGCAACCTTCCAATATCTCATGTTTTATCTAACTTCTCTGTGTATGTGCCATTAACATAGAGCCTTAGCTCTTGTTCTGGAGCCTTTTTGCACCTAGAATTAAGGCTACTAGATTGGGCCCTATTTTTACAAATTCCATTTTGCTACAGGCTTAAGATTAGTAGAAAAATGAGACAGAAGGGAACAGCTGGTAGGGCCAGGTTCAAGGAGTCATACTGAGACTGAAGGGCATTTGAGATGTACTCTCTAAAGCGTTTATCAACAAAAGACCCACTCTTAGTCCTCACATAAGCAAAAGTGCCCATGATTTTATTGGGAATTTAGCCATTGTATTGACAGCAGGAGCCTGCCCAAAATTAAAATAAGACTATTTGGATACAATTGCAACTAGTTCTCTAACACAGACCCTGAGAACAAGCATATTCTTTTTTCCCAAAATGAGTCTTAAAAGCTAGAAATTGTCTTATGAGACATGTTTTCCCCTAGGATATAGTCAGCAGTTAAGTTCATATGGAAAGTTAATGTATATTTTTAGGAGATATTAAATAGGTAGATGGTACATTTCATTTTTTTATGGTTTAACTCTTTATTTATGTAAAGTGGTATCTAGGCACGGGGTTATATTAGATTTTCAGAACAGCATGTGGGACATTAAGTGCATAACTCCCATTAGTGTTAATGGGAGTTTTGTGTTTAGTTCTCTGTGCCCTGCATGGGAAATACCTCATCGAATCCTACTTTGTGCCTTAAAAAAACAGCCCTGCATTTTTATTTTTGTCCATATGTTCATGTTCCGTGTCTATTTGACCTGTGGCACATCAGCATTTCTTCATAACTATAGACATGATGCTGGCAATCTGCCACATAATGAACAATCTAATGTGTAACTCTTAATGGTTTGGGTCCTAGCTGCCTTAGAGACTCTCTGTCTCCTTATGCTTTGACCTGATAGTTGAGATCAGCTTGAGCACCAAATCTAACAGTAACTCTGTACCATCTCGGGTGCATGTTTCATGGACAAAACCCTCCCTGCACCTTTGCATCACACGCACTTTTTGATTTTTGTTTTGAAGACAACCACTCTGAAATTCACCAGTATGCAAAAGCGTACATGCCCTGCTGCTCTGGTGAACTGCTCCTGAAAAAAAGAAATCATACAATGGCAACATTATGAACCACTATTAAGGGTGAGGAGCAGGACCCGACTGCTGTTTTTTCTAGTGTTTCCTCCCTTACACTTTGACCTGGTAGTGGTAAAATCCTTAGATTTAAATCTACAGGGGCTGGTGGGTTGGCAGTGAGGTTGGAAGAGGTGCTGATGCGATAGCAGTAATATCGTAATCCTACTTTCCATGAATAGCTGAATATTGGCAATGGGAGAGCCCAAGCCTGGGCCAGAGAAATCAGCTGCAGTCCATAAAACCATTTAAATCAGCAGCATTAAACCCACATTCCTAAGAGTTATTAATTCCAACTATTTGTCTCCTCCTCTTAATAATACCCTCTGCAAATTTTCTACAATCAGTGAGGATGCCTTATTCTTTCTGCCCACCTTGGAGATCTGGTGGGCAAAGCCCTTCACTCTGCAGTCATCCCATGCTACCCTGAAGCAGAAGGGGTGATGTCAATTCTGATGTCACAGTGCCCCCTCAGCTGTTTCCAGGCCCACAGCAAAGGGACAAGGAAGGGGAGGAGAGGTAAAGAAAAGAGGAGGGAAAGTTAATTCCATCACACTTTCCCAACCTGTGAATTTTATCAGGGGTATTAGCTTTTATATGGAAACTAGACTAGTCTAGCTGTTAAAACAGGGCCTGGGAGCTAAACTCTTAAATTCAACCTCCAGTCCTGCAGCTGGCTTGCTGCTGAACTAGGGCTAAGTTACTGAACTCTCTGTGCCTCAGTTTCACTGACCCTGCCCCACTTAGTTGTATGGCTTATGTTCAGATTGTGCCTATGGCATTCAGTGATCACAAAGTGCTCAAGATACTTGCAGGAGGTCTTTGTTATTTGGTGTCTGGTTCCAACTGCCTGCGCATAACAATGGAAGGTTCAAAGCACTCAGACCAGACTGGGCCTGGGAAACTCAGGGTACGTCTAGACTACATGCCTCTGTCACCAGATTAGGCTACCAGACATAGGAAAATGAAGCGGCGATTTAAATAATCAGCTGATCAGCTGTTTGTCGGCTCAGCGTGGCAGCCATGTAAATTTAAATGAAGTTGCGATTATTTAAATTGCCGCTTTATTTTACTATGTCTGGTAGCCTAATCTACATGCCTCTGGCGACAGAGGCATGTAGTCTAGATGTACCCTCAGTCTATAAAGGCACAGGCCCCAATATCAGTGCTCTCTTTGAGGATTTTTCAGGGGCAGTGGATGTGACTTTTCTCCACTTGGTATGAGTACAGCCACTACTTTCTCATTCCTGGATACTCTTAGAAATCTGCATGCACTATGCTGCACCTGGTTGCTGCTTCTGGCTGAAATAAGTTGGGGCTAAGTGCCCCCCATGTCCTTCTCTAGGCTTCAGTGAAATAGCTACAGAATTCCTGGTATTTCCTAGCAACCACAGACTTCTGTGGTCATTCTCAGTGCAGGTTGTGGGAGCAAGACTGGTCCTGCTTTCATTGCTTGGAAGTGGACATATTCAGCTTTCACACTGCAGAGCAGGGGTTGGCTATAAGACATGTGCTCAGCTGGTGGAGTCCCTCAGCTAGAAGGTGGTCTCATTCTGACTCAGCATCCTGTTATGATAGCAGATGAGGTCTGAATAAAGATCTTCCTTATGATTTATAGGTAGCCTCCGCATCAAGCAAGTCTCCCTTTGACTCAGCCCATAGCAGTTATGCATACCGTGAGTTTGCTGGTTAGTATGCCACACAATTGCAGTACCAAGTAATAAGATATCCTCAGTTTTCTTGTAAGCGTTGCTACAGTAAAATAGAGATTAGACTATTTTGATCAAGGACTTCAAAAATCATTTCTCAAAACCATTAATTGGTTACGTAACAAAGCATGTAAGACATCTCTTATGCCGTATATAGTTAACATTGTAGAGTTTGTACAGAAGTTACCTCTGGAGAGCTCTAATGTGAGGTATGTTAAAAACTGTTTTAAAATTGTGATCTACATTCTCAGCGAGTTTCTTGAGTCTAGTTGCAGGGTAGGGAGCTTTGTAGGGAAGCCTGCAGTCATTCAGTTTGCAGCTAGCCAGCCAGCCTAAAGTAACCTAGGGCGAGTTATGCCTTTCTGTCTTAGAAAGCAGCTGTTTTATTTCTCTCTTTCTCTCTGTTTGGGGTTCTAGTATGTTATTGCTGTGAATTCTAAGAAACAGAGTTGTGTTATATTGCAGCCTTCCAGTGAGAGTATTTTATGTCCTTATCTAATGTCTGTGTGCACCATGAAATATAACATATTATACAGCAAGAGAGAAGAAGACACATTCATTGTGAAATGTCATGACTACAGCAGGGTCCAACTCATATCAGAATATTAGATCTGAAATGTAAATTAGTTTGTGCACCATCATGTCATAGTCATCTGAGATTTAAAAAAATAAACAGTGTAGATTATAAATCAGTTGGCATGGGTTGTGGTTCTACCTACCCTCCCCAACTATAGTAGTCCTGCTAACACAGCACTTCACAAATTATTCAATTCAGGATGCAAGGCTGAATGGACCATAAATTTTAAGGGTCCTAGGAGGGATATGTTTGTTTTAGACTCTAATTGTGGCAGAATTTTTACAGATGATACAATAAGTTTAGAAATACAGACAGTAATGTGTACTTGGTTTCATGGATATCACTATCAGAAATGAGTTAGTTGGGCATTTAAATGGGAAAATACCAGCTATTTTAGACAGCATATAATCCCAACAAGGACTGAAGTTTCCCTTCTAAAGAATGGCTGTGAGGTAGGGTTGTGGTAATAATCATCGACAGGGCATCTGCTTGGTTCATATGTTTTTCAGAAACAGAAGTATTGTTTAGGGTGCTCCAAACGATATAATGGAATGAAATTTAGAAAGGAAAATGTAAGTGGATTATCAGGAACCATTTACTGAAGGTAAAAATCTCCTAGAGGGGGTGAACTGAGGTTCACAATGCAGTGAGGATGTTTAGTGGCTGGTTGCCTGGTTGTCTTCATTAAAATGCACTCATTTTTGTGATGGAGAAAACATGAATTGTCAGTGCTGATTTGAAAAGTATTTGGCAGTTTAAAAACAATGAAACAAAACAGATACACGCATGCCCCTCCTTTCCTGCCATCATAAAGACTTTGATGGAATTAAGTGAACCATACTGAAAGTATACGGTGGAAGCATCTGGTCTGCAGTTTCAGATGAATGCTTTCCATTTCATTGTCTGCTTGCTGGTGTGTGATGAATTTCATGGACTGACTCAGGTTCCTCACAGTGCCTTGCAGGCAAAGGCTGCTAGCCTCAGCAAAGCACTCAGTGTCCTTCACAACAGATTGGCTTGCCCTGAGAAACACATGTGGCATTTGAGCAGAGATGATACAATGGAAAGCACATTCTCATGGTTTCGTGTGTCAGATGAAATTGTCCCTATTCCAATTCAAAAGAACATTCCAGCTAAATGGACTGCACAAAGTGACCCAGCCAAGAACAGGAGAGGTTCTTGGGCTGCATGTAACTCTGAGATAATTGGAAGAAAACTTGCTGGAAATCTTGGCCCATAATTCAGAGGCATGAATAATAACCTATGTCTAGTAATCTGTTTTATTTGTCTCTAGTATGCCCAATCATCACAATATCTGAATGTGAACAAAGTTAAAGAATGAAAACACTTTTTTTTCTAAAAGACTCTATATAGTTAGCAGAAATTATTAGAGATGGGCCTAATTCAAATGCCCAGATCTCAACATCCCTGATATTTGAATTTCATACTATCGAAATACGTCAACTCTGTTAAAATGTTCACATGAAATGTTTAGATTGCGTTGAATCAGTATTTTTTTTAATGAAAAACTGTTCTGTTGAGAAGCTTCTGACCAGTGCTAGACAGATGTGAGATGACAGAGCTGGGTATCATCAGTATATATAATACACTGCAGGCAACTTTCCTCACTAAATCTCCTAATGGTCCCTTAATGGCTTCATGGGCACTCTGAGCAAGAGAGAGTTGAATACTAGGAGGTTGTGTGTAGACTGACAAGTTTTTCTGCAAAAGCAGCTGCATTTGCGGAAAAACTTGCCAGCTGTCTACACTGGCCACTTGAATTTCCTCAAGAACACTGATGATCTCATGTAAGAAATCAGTGCTTCTTGAGGAAATACTGTGCTGCTCCCGTTTGGGCAAAAGTCCTTTTGCACAAAAGGGCCAGTGTAGACAGCTCAGATTTGTTTTGTGCAAAAAAGCCCTGATCGTGAAAATGGTGATCGGGGCTTTTTTGCGCAAAAGCACGACTAGATTGGCCATGGATGCTTTTGCGCAAAAGTGCTTTTGCGCGAAAGTATCCATGCCAATCTAGACGTGCTTTTGTGCAAATGCTTTTAATGGAAAAGCTTTTCCATTAAAAGCATTTGCAGAAAATCATGCCAGTCTAGACGTAGCCGGAGAGTCCAAAATAACCACTCACTTCCTCTCTTGTGGCTTTCTCCTCCTCCCCACAAATAAGCTGAGGGACAGCGTAATTAGAGAGCACTCAGTCAGGAAGGTATGCTCTAGAGCAGAAGGAAGGAGATGGTGACTTGGCAGCAGGCTGGGCTGTTGGGAATGTATGAATTTTCCACCACCTGACTGGGGCCCTATAACCAATAGAATAGTATGTTAAGGCTGGCCTTAACCCTACAATGATGTTAATATAAATCCCAACCCCACACTACCTTCTACATCCTATGACTTAAACTACCAACCAAATAATGGAGGTGCTAATTGTTCTTCTTAGCCTGTTGTAACTATTTGAACTATCTACTCACTGTCTCTCTCTATTTTTTTCGCCTTTCCCTCTCCTTTTTCTCCCTCCTTTTTTCTCTCCCCGCCCCCCTCCTTCCCTTCCCTTATTTATTCTTGGATCTGAACTTCTAATACTCCTGTCATCTGAAGAAGTGGGTTATGCCCACGAAAGTGCATGATACCATCTACATGTTTTGTTAGTCTTTAAGGTGCTACTAGTCTATTTGTTGTTTTTAAAATTTTTCCTGTTATAGACTAATTCAGCTACCTCTCTGAAGCTACTGGCTTCATGCACCCAAATTCCAAAGGTAGTTAAAAAATCCTTTTTTCCCCACTGGCAGTGGGATGTATCTGCATTATCTGCATAGTTCCCCGCCCTCATTATAGAAAATAAAAAATAAATGCTTTTACTGGTATAAGCAAGGATTCACCTAAACTTTTGTCCAGACATTGAACCTAATCCATCATCAAGGATTTCTGAGATTACCTTTCCCCCCTCCCCATTTTTAGCTTTTGTGTACCAATGTCATGGTTTAGGCCAGCAGCCAAGCTGCTGTAAAGGAGGTTTAGGTTGGACATTAGGAAAATCTTCCTGTCAGGGTGATAAAACACTGGAATAAGTTGCCTAGGGAGGTTGTGGAATCTCTATCACTGGATATATTTAAGAGCAGGTTAGACAGACAGCTATCAGGGATGATCTAGACAGTGTTTGCTCCTGCTGTGAGGGCAGGAGACTGGACTTGATGACCTCTTGAGGTCATTTCCAGTTCTAGTATTCTATGAGTTTATGATTCCTTGATATTGCCAACCAAGGTTGCAGATTCAAAAGCTTGGCTGAGTGACCCCACTGTTGGGTGCTTATCCTAAGACAATAGACCTACTGAACCATTGAGATTCACCCATTGATATGCTATTCAAAATGTGTCTTCTAAAAGCATGTACTGAAAATTGTGGAATGTGTATTGCCTTTTATATTTTAATCCTGGAGATGTATTGTGACTGATCAATAAAATGAAATGCCTGTGCTTGGTGCACAGTGAGACTACAGAGGGTATTGTACTGATTCAGACAAAATCTAAAATACAGACTTTTCTTAAAAATGACCAGAAAAGTAAACCAAGATCAAACCATCTTAAATTGTGATTTTACTTTAAAAGGAGCATGTGAAAATGGCCACCCTACTCAATGTATCTTCCCCTACATCATACTGGCTTACATGAAGTTCCAGCTACATGTATTGTGGAATGCTCATATTGCAAGCTATCCTTTGTGGGTGGGCAGAAAAAGAAAGAGTATGAAAATATTCAGATGAGCTATGAGTGTAATATAAAAAGTTACAAGTTTTGCCTTGGAAACACAACCCATTTTTAATCTGCAGGTAATAAGAATGTTAGAAACAAGCTTTAAAAACAGAAACAGTTCAATATTTTTACTTCACCATCCATAAAATGACATGAGCAATTTCTTTCTAATGTTGTAAAAATATTCTCCACCATGCTGACAGAAGGGATTTTTCATTGTTGCAGAGATAAAGGAGGGCTAAATATAAGGGCTTAGAATGGGAACTTTTACTGCTATCTTAAAAAATGGAAGTGCTACCAAGTAATTCTAAAATAAACCTAAAAAGATGTTTTCATTCCCAAAATCACTTGAATTGTAATCTCTGATTTAACAACTGATACTTCAAATAGATCTTCAGTACATAAATATGTGAGCACACAAACCCCTTTCCATTAAATTCTGACTTCAGCATTTAAAACTTTATTGGCCTATGTTTTGCTTTGCTCTTAAGTATTTACAACTGTGTGTAGAGAGTTTGTATAGCAAAGTAGCTTTCAGGACAGTGTTTGCACACACATTTGCATCGGCGTCTATGGATTACAGTAAGGGTTTAATAGGAGATCACAGAAGTGGTAAGAAAGTGTATCTTCTTCCCTGCTCTCATGACAAAAGTCAGTTTCCACTGAACTCTTGGGCTGTGTCTAGACTGGCCAGTTTTTCCGGAAAATCAGCTGCTTTTCTGGAAAAACTTGCCAGCTGTCTATACTGGCCGCTTGAATTTCCACAAAAGCACTGACGATCTCATGTAAGATTGTCAGTGTTCTTGCGGAAATACTATGCTGCTCCCATTTGGGCAAAAGTCCTTTTGTGCAAAACTTTTGCGCAAAAGGGCCAGTGTAGACAGGTAAGCTTTGTTTTCCGCAAAAAAAGCCCCGATCGTGAAAATGGCACTCGAGGCTTTTTTGCGGAAAAGCGCATCTAGATTGGCCACGGACGCTTTTCCGCAAAAAGTGCCTTTGCGGAAAAGCGTCTGTGCCAATCTAGACGCTCTGTTCCAAAAATGCTTTTAACGGAAAATTTTTCCATTAAAAGCATTTCCGGAAAATCATGCCAGTCTAGACGTAGCCTTGTGGTTTCATGGACCTTTAGGAACTGGTAGCTTTTTAACACTTTCCATCTTCAATGGAACACTGAAAAGAATTCACTTCAGTGCTGATCTAATCCTGCTTTTAAAGTGAAGGCAACATGGGTGCGTGCTGTGCTTAGATGTAAGCATTGATATTTTGTTCCTCAAGCATGAGCATCTTCTAAGAAGTTGATTTATGGTTTATAGACTCTCATGACTCCACATACACAAGACATTAGTAAATACAAAGTTTTAAAAACAAAATTAACTTTTTTTATGAAAATGAACTCAGATTGCAAATATTTAAGGTGACGAAGGCTCCCTGTGATGAAGTGTCCATCCCATACAGGGCTTGAGCAGGTGAAAAGGGACAATTAATCTTATAAGCTGTATCTAGAGGAAAGCCAGAGCCTAGTAAAGTGTATTTGAAGATGAAGCCCAGCTGGGCAGGTGCATGTTGGGCTTGAATAAAGCTAGGAAGTTAAGAGCTGCAGTGAGTTGCAGAGAGGAGATTCACAGCCTTTTCCTAAAGTTGGGCTGGGCAAAATATGGCCTGTGGGCCACATCCGGCCCACCAAGCCACTGGATCAAGCCTGTGGACCCAGCGGGGAGTCCCAGGTAGGCTCCCTGCTTGTCTCGCCCCACCTGCACACTGCTCAGAAAAGCGGCTGCTTGTCTATTTCTCTTTCACAACTGTCAGCCTGGAAGGGAGGAGGGAAGCTACATGTGCTGCCCTTACCCCAGCACAATCCCATTGGCTGGTTTCTGGAGAATGGGAGCAGCCTTTCTGAAGAACAGGCAGCACATGAAGCACCACATCCTCTTCCCCTCTGGCTCATTGTTATTCACACACTCATGTGGCCCTTGCAGCCTGTGCAGGGGCGGGGCAGGCAAGGAGGGTGCCTCAGAAATGTGCTGGCTGGGAGTCACCCAGGTAAGTCTCCTGGCCAGAGCCTGCCTCTAGCACCCCAGCTCCTCCCTTCCCCCAACCCACTGCAGCCTACTCCACATAACTCAAACCCTCTGTCCCCCTCCTGCACCCCAATCTCCTGCCCCAGATCACAACCCCTTCCTTTCCTAGGTCACAACCCAACCCCCTGCACTCCAGTCCAGTACCCTAGTTCACAACCCCTTCCTTCACCCAAACTTCCTTCTAGACCTCACACTCCTTCCTGCACCTAAATTCCTTACCCCAAGCTCCCTTTTGCACCCAACACCCATCCCAGACCCTGCACCTCCTCCATTAATATCATGGAAGAGTGTGGCCCTCGACCACTTTCCAAAATCTTGGAGTGCCCCCTCCACCATCAAAAATTATTGCCCACCCCTGCTCTAGAAGAAAGGGAGTTGGATAGAGACAAGGATGAGTTCTAGGGGGAGAGAAAGCCCTGGGATCCTGCATTGGACTTCAGAGTCTGGTAAGAAGCTGAGTGTGAGGTGAAGTAGCTTCTGACAGTGGAAGAAACTTGGGCTGGTAAACAGTATTCCCTCTTATTTTTCCTACCCATAAATGGAATGGCTTTTCTTATGTACTCCAGTGTGGAGATGACGTACCGGGGGTTCTGTGTGTGGGAGAGGGCACAGGACTGAAGCAGAGGGTTGGGATGCAGGAGCATGAGGGCTTTAGCGGGGGTGTGGGCTCTATGGTGTGGCTCAGAATGAGGAATGCAGGGTTGGGAAAGAGAACTGGGGTGCAAATGCTATAGCTGGGAGTGTAGGCTTTGAGGTAGGGCAACACTTGATGGCTATGTCTACACTGGCGCCATCTTGTGCCAGAGATATGCAAATGAGGCTAACCGTGGAATATTGCCACGCTTCACTTGCATATCTAATGAGCCGCCATTTTTGCAGAAGAGGCTCTTGCACCAGAAGGAGCGTCTACGCTGCCCCTTCTTGCTCAAGAAAAACCCTCTTGCGCAATGCCGCTATGCTGATGATTTTCAGGAATAACCTCAGAAAAGATACATAGTGCAAGAGGGTTTTTCTTGGCCAAGAAGGGGCAGCGTAGATGCTCCTTCTGGCGCAAGAGCCTCTTCTGCAAAAATGGCGGCTCATTAGATATGCAAGTGAAGCGTGGCAATATTCCACGGTTAGCCTCATTTGCATATCTCTGGCGCAAGATTGTGCCAGTGTAGACATAGCCGATGGTTTTGGGGTGCAGGAGGGGCACTCCAGGTTTGGGGAAAGACTCTGGGCTGGAGGGGTTGGGCTTTGTAGTGTGACTAAGGATGAGGGTTTTGGAGTGCAGAAGCATGATCAGGGCTTGGAGGGCTCAAGATGGGGCATGCGGTTGGGGCTTGGGCTTACCTGGGTGGATCCATGTTGGGGCTTCAGCTTCAGGAAGTTTGCATTAGACTCAAGGGCTATGAATTTTACACAGACAAACTTTGCACAGATAAATGGCTGAAGAGAAAACCCCAAGCATCTGAGGGGCTGAAAATAGAGTTCAAGGGAAAGTTCTTACCACAGGTACATGATTCAACCACAGAGGTGTCCTGACAATGAACTGGCATACTTAGTAGGCACATGAAATTACATCTAAGGCTAGCCTGTTTGCTTGTCTAAGTATCTTTTCTGGGAAGGTTCTTATTTTTATGGGTTTGATTATTTGTTTTATTATAGTAGGTTTATATTAGAGTATATTTTGGCTGTAACACAAGGGATCTACAGGCCACATCCTGTGTACTGAGCTAAGGCAAAGTCAGTCTACATATGTTTGGGACCTTTCACCTAGATAGATAGTAATGAACTAAAGCATAAGGTCCATATATGTGTCAGGTCTATTGACAGGTTGTATACTGCCCCTCCCTGAATCAGGACGAGGGCAGCGGACTGTTTTATACTGCCCCATCCTGAACCAAGGGCTGTAATAGGTTTTTATGTGGCATTTTTTATGCTTACAGTTGAAGTTGTGTTAACACCTAATAATGTAACATTGATATAGATAATTTTTATGCTCAGCTGGAAGTATAGAAATCAGATACTGGGAACAATTCTTCTTTTTCTTTAAGGCTTTGGTGGTCAACATCTGAAGAGAACAATGTCCATGTCAGACTCCCAACTGACTCTCAATCATTCTTGTTCCTATTCAGATCAGCCACCAACTATGTTCTGCAACATGTCTGTTTGCTACACCTAAGCCCAACCAGAGAATCCTGGCCTGACCAGAAGGATTTCTGCAGGAGTGGATACATCTGCCAGTGTCTACATTGCCTCTTACTGCACAAGCCAAGGTAGGATTTGGCCCTTAATGGGGAAAAAGAGTGTAAGAACAATCAGACTTCTGGTCCCATGGCATGTAGTTGTATTTCCATTTGCATTTTTATGTAACTCTCTCTTTAAAAGGTTCAGTAAGTGTAGGGGGGAAAAAAAGAACATTGACTCTGGAGAACTGGTGGTACAATAAGCATGTATTTACAGGCCACTACATAGGCTGGCACAGTTGACAGTCCCTGCTGGAGTAGAGATTGGCCATAGGAGAGCATATGATGCTTTAACAGATCTTTGTGGTGAAGTTTCTACAACATCAAGAATCATAGAATCATAAGGCTGGAAGAGACCATGGGAGGTCATTGAGTTCAACCCCCCGTGCCCAAACCAGAACCAATCCTAACTAAATTATTCTAGCCATGGCTTTGTCAAGCTGGGACTTAAACTCCAGGGATGAAGATTCCACCACCTCTCTAGGCACCCCATTCCAGTACTTCACCACCCTCCTAGTGAAATAGTTTTTCCTAATATCCAACCTAGACCTTCCCCACTGTAACTTAAGACCATTGTTCCTCATTCTGCCATCCGTCACTAATGAGAACAGTCTCTCTCCATCCTCTCTGGAACCCCCCTTCAGGAAGTTGAAGGCTGTTATCAAATCCCTCCTCACTCTTCTCTTCTGCAGATTAAATAAGCCCAAATCCCTCAGTCTCTCCTTATAGGTCATGTGCTCCAGCCCCCTAATCGTTTTGGTTGCCTTCCGCTGGACCCTCTCCTCGCTCATGCCTGGCTTGAGTGAATGCTGTGAGTTATGTTTTTCCCCAATGCTAATTGTATTTCACAAAGCTTAATATAAATGTAAAAGGGGACAAGAATCACTGCAGGTAAGTGTTTATTTCCGTTAGAGTATATGGCTTTGCACTTTGCTGTGTCTGATATACACAGACAAAAAGAGTGGCACTCATAAGCCACAGTGCTTAGGAAAACAAAATAGAGGAAATAAACTGCTAATTAGAAAAAGGGCCTTAATGGCAGTACTTTGATGGTAAACACTGGAATCATCTATGGTTTTCCCAGAATACTGGGAAAATATAAACTGCCCTTTCTATTCCAACTGTAACAAATAAATGTGACTGGGAAGAAACACTACAGATCATTGTGATAGCAGCGTCCTTGTGCTAAATGATTTTCATTTGTTCACCTGCTTCTACAATGTGCTTTAGGTAA